TGTATCATAAAAAATGGCCTGGTCAGGAAGAAGGGTAAATCCTTTGGAGGGCAAGTGGTTAAAGTGGTTGTAAATTCTTACATATACCCAGTGAAGTGACTGGCCTCAAGTGATACAGAGAGACGAAGCAAATCCTCCTTCATAAGTTGTACCTGTTTATCTGCTGCCTCTCTCCTCTACAACCGGTCAAAGTCCAGAATTTATACAGCCTGTCAGCTTTCAGAAAGCAGGGGGCAGTGAGATAAAGTTACACTCTGAAGAGCTCAGTGAGAGCTGATTGGAGGGAAGGGACCACCCCCCCCCCCTTCACACAGCACAGGGGAACAGAGTTGAGGCTGTAAAGCACAGGTTGTGTGCTTGAGCTCCCTCCCCTGTCACCTTTTTAGCTCTTAGTGTCTGGTAAACTTATAAGAAGTGACTCATGCTGATAGCAGAAGAGTGAGACAGCAACAGTTAAATGACACTTAGTGCTCTGGATTGAGACAAGTACACACTATAGAGGGATATGCTTTGCTCTTATTTCATGTCTGAGGTTTACAACCACTTTACACACCAACCTTCACTCATATTAGTTTTGGATATACTGAGCCATTTACTGAGGAGATATCATCTGGTCCATTCCATTTCTTTCTTCTCTACATCTTTGTGCTGCAGTTTTGACAGTAAAGAGGGGAAGGAACACAGATATCGGGACTTGACGGTGCAGATCATGTTCAGTACAGGAATCTCTTTTACTGAGATAAATGCCATTTCTCTTTCTAGCCCATCTACCATGCTGTTATAAGTTGTTTATTGCTCCCTCTCTCCTATAACAGCTTTCACTTTAGCTTCCTCCCTTACCTATTGGATAGATTTTTTTGTGACCCCAACCAATATAAAAAAAAAAAATGCTCAGCCCAATGAGAAAGGGGGATGCCATTTTATCCAGACTGTGTACATAATTAGTCTGGATGAAAAAACTCAACAGTCCATCCAGTTCAACCATTAAAAAAAAAAAAAAAGTTATAAACCTATACCAACAGCCGATTCAGAGGAAGGCAAAAAACCCCAGCAAAGCATGATCCAATTTGCTCCTGCAGGGGAAAAAAATTCCTTCCTGATCCCCCGAGAGGCAATCGGATATTCCCTGGATCAACTTTACCTATAAATGTTAGTATTCAGTTATATCCTGTGTATCTAGGAAAGAATCCAGAACTTTTTTTTAAGCAATCCACTGAGCTGGCCAGAACCAACTCTTGGGGGAGTCTATTTCACATCTATTACTGTAAAGAAACCTTTCTGTGTTTGGAGATTAAATTTCTTTTCCTCCAGACATAAAGAGTGCCCCCTTGTCCTCTGTGATGACCTCAAGGTGAATAGCTGTACACAGAGTTCACTATATGAACCACTGATGTATTTATACATGGAGATCATATCCCCCCTTATATATTATACATGGAGATAATATCCCCCCTTATGTATTATACATGGAGATCATATCCCCCCTTATGTATTATACATGGAGATCATATCCCCCTTATGTATTATACATGGTGATCATATCCCCCCTTATGTATTATACATGGAGATCATATCCCCCCTTATGTATTATACATGGTGATCATATCCCCCCTTATGTATTATACATGGAGATCATATCCCCCCTTATGTATTATACATGGTGATCATATCCCCCCTTTATGTATTATACATGGTGATCATATCCCCCCTTATGTATTATACATGGAGATCATATCCCTCCTTATGTATTATACATGGAGATCATATCCCCCTTATGTATTATACATGGTGATCATATCCCCCCTTATGTATTATACATGGTGATCATATCCCCCCTTATGTATTATACATGGAGATCATATCCCCCCTTATGTATTATACATGGTGATCATATCCCCCCTTATGTATTATACATGGAGATCATATCCCCCCTTATGTATTATACATGGAGATCATATCCCCCCTTAATCTCCTCTTCTCAAGAGAATAAATTCAGTTCCTCTAATCTTTCCTCATAGCTGAGCTCCTCCATGCCTCTTATCAGTTTGGTTGCTTCTCTGTACTTTCTCCAGTTCCCCAATGTTGTTTTTGTGAAATGGTGCCCAAAGACTGAAATGGGATTTATAATCCCAGACCCTATATCGTTTATAAATATATTAAAAAGTAAGGGTCCCAACATTGAACCTTGGGGTACACCACTGAGAACCCTAGACCATGCAGAGTATGAATCATTAACCATACTCTCTGAATATGATCTTTTAGCCAGTTTTCTATCCATTTACATACAGATTTTTCCAAACCTGTAGACTTCACCTTACACATTGTGTGGGGAATGGTGTCAAACGCTTTTGCAAAATCCAAGTATACCACGTCCACCGCCACCCCTCTGTCCAAGTATACCACGTCCACCGCCACCCCTCTGTCCAAGTACCACGTCCACCGCCACCCCTCTGTCCAAGTATACCACGTCCACCGCCACCCCTCTGTCCAAGGTTTTGCTCACTTCCTCATAAAAAGAAATCAGATTTGTTTGACAACTTCGGTCTTTCATGAATCCATGCTGTCTGTTGCTTAAAATATTTTTTTCCAGCAAGAACTCATCTATTTGGTCTTTTATTAAACTCTCCAGTATCTTCCCAACTATAGAAGTTAAACTGGTCTATAATTACTTGGTAAAGATTTTGTCCCCTTTTAAAATATTGGAACCACATTGGCCTTACACCAATCCAGTGGTACTATGCCAGTCATTAGAGTCCCTAAAAATTAGAAACAATGGCTTTGAAATGACAGAGCTCAATTCTTTAAGGGCCCATGGGTGTATGCCATCTGGTCCAGGTGCTTTATTCACCTTTATTCTGTCTAAATATTTTTGGATCATATCAATTGTGAGCCAATGTGGATCATCTGGGGAACTGTGTCAATACCATGCCCATTATGGACAAAAGCTCCCCCATGCCCTTATGTGGACACAGAGCTGAAGAAGGTATTTAATAAATTTAAAAGTGTAAAAATGGGCATTACCTTCAAAAGTTTGATTTCCAGTCTACAATTTCACAACTGCTATTTAGGGATTGCTAGAGAGCTGTTGCATGAGAGAGAGCAATAAAAAACTACTTTTACAAGGGATAGCAAGAAGGATGGCACAGCTCAACTAAAATAGCTTTTTACTGCCATAAAAGCTGGAGATTCCTTTCATACGGTTTGTATAATTATTTACAATCAACACAGACCAAGTTAAGTTACACAGACAATGTAGTCAGACAAAGACTGCCCAAAAGCACACAGGTACAACTATATAGTCATGAATGAGATACATTTTGAAATAATTAAAATAACTAAAGAGCCCAGCTCCACCTATAAATCTATTTGAAGACTGTGTATTCTGACAAGGTCACAAGTCTCTTTTAATTTTAAATAATATAGTTTAACAGGCTTTTCACTGCTTGCAGGAATGTGTCTGATCCATTCTACATCTCCTTGTGATGCAGTTACATCTCCGACTTAAGTTCATTCTACCTGTGAAAATAAAAAAAAAAGGCTCCCATAAATACAATATAAACATGTTTGTTTGGTCGGATATGAAAACATTTTCTTGGTGAACATATAATATTACATATGAATATCCCTTAATTACTATTCCCCGTCATCAGATGGAGTTCTAAGTTCCTTTTCACATATTTAACAGTTGAAACTCAAAGCTGTAGTTCCTGGTTTTCTGATGTAGCAGGAAAGGGATTTGGACTTATCACACTCCTCTGAGCAAAGAGAAAACATACTTTACATTGCCCATTACTTATCAGTGGTGAGTGAATACCAGGCGTTGGGCTATAAGGTCCTCACTCAATGGTATAAGGTTCTGATCCTCTTGAAGAAAATCTATCCTGATGTTGTGAGCACCTGTTGGCATTGCATGAAGGAAGAGGGTACCATGTTACACATCTTTTGGTCATGAAAGAAACTAGAGGGGTTTTGGTCCCAAGTGAAGCACACTATCAAGCGGCTTACCATTTACAATTTGGGCTCTGACCTGGCTAGATACCTTCTCCATCATTCTGATCTCTCAAACAGCACGTATAAAAAACTCAGTGTTGGTCCATCTATTAAATGCTGCAAAGGCCTGTATACCAGCACTGTGGAAGCTGGACTCCTCTCCTACACTCTTGATATGGTTCACTAAATTACCTGAAATTCATGCCATGGAAAGTATCACTGCTGCCTTGAGAGGTAAAGAAGAGAAATTTAACAAGAAGTGGTTTTACTGGTCTTTTTACACATGCTCCAGAGGCTATGGCTCTATCTTATGGCTGGTACACACGGGCCAAATTTCGGCTGGTTCAGCAGAAATTGGCTGACATTCAGCCTGAGTGTACAGCAGCCTGTCCGACAGAAGCCGGTCTAAGGACCAGCTTTTATCAGTAGGTAATTTGCATTTATTATTTTTTACACTGCAGCTTGTAAAGCATTGCTCCCACGATCAGCAGATTGCGGGAACAATGCCAGAATCCTGCAGACTCTTAGTCAATTGTCTGCCTGTACCTCCTGTATGGGCAGACAGTTACTGCACAGCAGGAAGAATCAATTAACTACGAGAGTGATCACCAGTGTCCTCCCAGTTCATTGAGAACTACAAGCTATCGGCTGCGGCAGCCAACGTTATCTGTAATTCAGTCATAGAACTCTGTGAATGAATGACAGGGCCATGTAGGTGGATCCCCTTATGTCTGCTGTTTTTGAATTGTGACAGCGAGTGCAGGGATAGGATCCCCCACCCTCTGTCAAAGGGAGGGGGAAATGGGGGGAAAGGAGGCAGGAGCTGGAACATGTTACATGTTCCACTCTAAAATACTGGTAGAACATGTAACATGTTCCAAAGGTGAACATATCCTTTAAAACTGAACTCCAGGAAACCTAAAAATCCTCCTTTACAGTGGGGCTGGGCCTTAAACAACTATTGATAGAAGTTCAAAAATCTCCAATGTCACCTCAATGATCAATACTTACCGTTGACAGCAGCACAGAAGGGATACAGCCATTTCCTTGTCTTCCCTGTACCGGCCTGATGTCGGCAAGTCTTTACATTCTGAGATAAAGATGTGAAGTTCAGACTCTGGAAAACCTTCTTTCTGGTAATTCTGCAAGGGTGGAAAGTCACATCACATTCTTTTATTTAAATAATAAATATTTGTAATTTACAGGCACAAGAGCTGAACAAAATTATTTATTTAATATCTGAAAGTAGGTTACAGAAAAAAAAAAAAAATAACAAGCATTTAAAGTGAGTAAAGACTTTTTTTAATCAACCACTTTAACGCCAGGCCTATCATGACACTTCTCATATACAGTGGGTATAGAAAAAAATGACCCCTTAAAATAATCACATTTTGTTGTTTTGCAGCCAGAAATGAAGACAGACATGGTTTTTGTTTTATCCAGCTGGGATGCAGGCATCATCCCAGTATAACCCATCATCCCAGTATAACCCATTAGGCTACACGAGTACCAGGATGGAAGCGGAGCCCGCTTGCCTCTAGTCCTGATGGTGGCGGCTGCCTCCGGGACCACGGGCGTCTATCCATCAATGAGAGAGACTTTGCAAGGCTATCTATCTTTGGCACGAGTGGCGAGTGGAATATTGGAAACTTTCAGAAGGAAGCACTGCGCATTATTGCCACTGCCTTGATTTATTAAGTGACAATTACACTGACTTTCTCTATGTCACTGATTTTGTCAGGGATCCCGGGTCCTCGGCGGTGCGCGCATGCGCAGATTGCCGATCCGTCCCAGCCGGCGAGCACAGAGTCCTCGGCGATCGCGTCGGCGGGCCGCGCATGCACACTAGCGATCGCGGCCGCACCAATGGGAGAACAGGGCGCTCTATTTAAAACTGCCCTGTGCATCTCCAAGTTGCCGCAAGGTCTTCTTCCTGTTCCTGTAAGTACGCTTCCCTGTTGCCAAACTCTGCCTGTTCTGATTTATGCTGACCCTCTCCTGCTCTGACCCCGGCTCATTCCTGACCATCCTTCTGCCTGACCCTCGGTACCGCGCTGCCCGCTACCTGCTGAACCTGGCTTGTGACCCCGACCATTCTCCGCTTGCTCCCCCTGTACCACGCTGGCCGCATGATACCGACCCGGCTAGTCTGACCTCGCTCACTCCTAGCAGTCACCCATCCATCCCGCTCGGATCGGGATCTGTCATCCCATCCATCCCGCTCGGATTGGGATCTGTCATCCCATCCATCCGCTCGGATTGGACCTGTCATCCCCTTCACAGCAGGCTCATCCCCGCAGGCACATACCCTCAGCGGGACCCCTCTGCCACCACCGGGGGTGCCCAGGGGCGCGACCTGATTCCAGTCTTGCACCAAATCCATCCCCACTATCAGGGGCCCTGGTGAAAAGGCAGACTGGGACTTAGACTCCGCGTCCTGGGAAACCCCGTGCTGTGGACCACTAGAGATCCCGTTGGGCGGAGCCTGACAGATTTATTACAGGATGGGGACATCATGTTACATGTTCTGAAAGGTGCACAGCACCCTACCTTTACTACAAGGCATGGATACTCCTATATTCTGCATCATAGACTTATAATAAGGAAGGTATATAGTCCGCACGTTGGCGGTGAAGAATTCCTATATTACATTGGCAGGGCCCCCTGCCACTTCAAATATACATTGCGGAAGCAATATGGAGATATTACCATGGTCACCATGTTCTCTTCATTTCATCACATTGGACACGATTGTCTCGATTTGAGATCTTACCACTCTTATTGCCTAATAGTGCCCATTCTTATCACTATTCTGTGTATCACACATTCAGTAGAAGTGTAGTAATACTGCCATAATCTCTCTCTGATAATTTCCTTGAACTGCTGTTTAGGTTAAGCACTGGGTTCCTGAATCCATCTTATACTGGTACCTATATTTGATATCTTTAGCATTGCATTTTTTGTTAAGCCATATGGTACTATTTTTGAACACATCCCCTACATGGTGGTATAACCAATGTGTCGGTGCTGCATATGTACTAGACCGGGTGTCGGCAACCCGCGGCTCCAGAGCCGCATGCGGCTCTTTTTCATCTTTGCTGCGGCTCCGGAGCACACTGCCCACCAGGTGGTCGGCAAGCCGCAGATCGCGAGCCACATGCGGCTCTTCTGTGTGCCGGGCGCCCGCTTCCCTCCCTCCTCAAAAATCCGGCCCGCGGAGCGTGGAACATTGGCTGTCAGGATGTAGGTGGGGCAGCCAGGATGTATGCGGGGCAGAGTGACGAACTCCTCTCTCAGTCCGCCCTGAAGACCAGAACGGCGCGGGAACACAGCGAGAGGAACGCGCGGAGCAAAGGTAAGTGAATTGAGACAATATGGGGGATGAATTACTATGTGGGGGATGAATTACTGTGTGGGGGATGAATTACTATGTGGGGGATGAATTACTATGTGGGGGATGAATTACTATGGGGGATGAATTACTATGTGGGGAATGAATTACTATGTGGGGGATGAATTACTATGGGGGAAGAATTACTATATGGGGGATGAATTACTATGGGGGAAGAATTACTATATGGGGGATGAATTACTATGGGGGAAGAATTACTATATGGGGGATGAATTACTATGGGGGATGAATTACTATGTGGGGGATGAATTACTATATGGGGGATGAATTACTATATGGGGGATGAATTACTATATGGGGGATGAATTACTATATGGGGGATGAATTACTATATGGGGGATGAATTACTATATGGGGGATGAATTACTATGGGGGAAGAATTACTATATGGGGGATGAATTACTATATGGGGGATGAATTACTATGGGGGATGAATAACTATGTGGGGGATGAATTACTATGGGGGATGAATTACTATATGGGGGATGAATTACTATATGGGGGGATGAATTACTATGGGGGATGAATTACTATATGGGGGATGAATTACTATGGGGGATGAATTACTATATGGGGGATGTATTTTCAGTTTTAAAAATGTGGCTGTCAAAATCAATTTCAATCGTGGTTTTGGCGAGATTTGGCTCAGTTGAAAAAAAAGGTTGCCCACCACTGACCTAAGGCTATGATTGTGATTATGAAGATACACTGTGGCCCTGATTAACCCTTTGCTTACTGGGCCCTTAAACCCCCTTCATGACCAGAGTGCTTTTTGCAATATATGCAGTGTCGGATTTGTTATAAATGTTGCAATGGTTTTGCGGCTCCCAGTCTTTTTTTTCCCTTCGGAAACGGGTCCAAGTGGCTCTTTATGTCTTAAAGGTTGCAGACCCCTGTACTAGACCATATGTCATTACATTTACAGCACTTTCTCTACACATGACCGGTCATGACGTCTGTTTTTAATTGGTTTTAGGTCATATTTTGTTGTATTGTCTCATCTTGCGGTGATGGCTAACTGAGGTATTTACCTAAAATGTCTACACATGCAATTTTGTAATAAAGCATAATTTTTTTAATAACTTTTGAGTATCGCTTTCTGTTCATTATGTAACCACTTTCTTTGTGAATCTCTTTTCACATCCCCTCCTTTCTTTGATGTTTGGTTTTTGGTTACTTGGCACATAGTGAATGTTCAGTGATACGTTAAATTTATGGAGCCTCTTGCCCCTCCTTTTTAATAGAAAAGAATGACCTCTTTTAAAATAATCACATTTTGTTGTTTTGCAGCCAGAAATGAAGACAGACATGGTTTTTGTTTTATCCAGCTGTATATACCCAGTGCAGCTTATAACATGCATGAGCACGGGGGGGGGGGGGGGAGCTTTACAAAATCTTTTTTTAATTTTAATATTTCTTTTATTTAATTTTTTATTTTTACACTGTCTTTTTGTTCTTTTTAATCAACTTTATTGTTAACACAAGGGATGAACAACATCCCTTGTGATAGCATGGGCAGCGACTGGTAATCTATACTGAGAGATCTGGGGTCTACTAGACCCAGATCTCTCCTCTGCCCTTAAAAGCATCAGATCAAACCAAGATCGCTGTGATATGATGCTTTCCCAAGCCAGTAATGGATTGTTTACATCCGAAACACTCGTTGCTTCTGGTTTCTTAGACCATAAAGATGGTAAGGTGATAAGAGATGTTCCAGTCCTTGATCATCTCTATGGTCAGCTGGCGGAACTGCCAGCTTCAGTCCTGGGCTCCCCAATGGAACAGGAGAGCCGGGGAAAGCTAATTAGACGCTAGGATCGCTTTTACAACAAAGAGCATCGCCAAATGAAAAAATAAATACTGGGATGATGCCTTTAGCTGCTTCTGGTTTCTTAGACCATAAAGATGGTAAGGCGATAAGAGATGTTCCTATCACATGCTTGGTGATGGAGGCCAATGGAGAGAGGGCTTCCCTTGCGGCTAAGTTCCGGACTCGCCTGAGAGTGGGACAGCGAGAGTCTGGCCCAAAGTTGCACAGGTCGCCTGTAGGAGTTTTGTTTGGTGGTCCACTCAGAAGCACAGCTGGTACACGGAGATAGGTCTGCAGACAGGAGGCGCCTGTGCGTGGTGTGCAAGCCCTTCCGGGATTTGGATGTTTACTGGGTAGTCTGTTCAAGCCAAGGTCAGGTACGTGGTGGGAATCAGAGCGGACGTAGTCAGATGAGAACAGAGGAGCGAGAGTATCCGTAAGCCAAGCCGAGGTCAGATCAGGAGTAATCAGAGTAGACAGGTCCAGAAGCAAGCCGAATCGGGTAACAGGAAATCACAAGTCAGAAACACAGGAAACAGGAACAGGGCACGGGGAGCTAGAGATCATCCAGCAACCAGAGGACGTGATGAGCCTCCTTATAAAGGCTGTTTGGCACCAGACTGAGGCTGATGTGTACTTCGGCAGCCATGTAGAGTATTGGCAGAAATGCGAGATCTTCCAGAACTCCTGCCGTGGACAGGACCCTGACAGTTCCAGTCCTTGATCATCTCTATGGTCAACTGGCAGAACTGCCAGTTTCAGTCCTGGGTTCCCCAATGAAACAGGAGAGCCTGGGCAGGCTAATTAGATGCTAGGATTGCTTTTACAACAAAGAGCATTGCCAAATGAAAAAATAAATATAAAATCCCGGGATGATACCTGTAGCTGCAGGCATCATCCCAGTATAACCACTTTAACCTGGCCACCAGTAGTGATCACAGTGTTCTGCTAGCAGGGAAGGCTCCCCACTGTCAGAACACAGTAGCGAGAGAGATTCCCTCATCAACACCGAATGTGTTGATGGGGGAAATGAGCAATCTATAATTTTGCTAAATCTATGTGCTGCTTTAAAGGCTGTGTATGATGCTTTCTTTTCTTTTGCATTTTTTTTGTCATGTACTGTATGTGAAAATGTTAATAAAACCTTTAGTAGGGAAAAAAATTCACACAGAAGATTAAGGGAAGATTAAGTACATCAAGTTCTGCTTTTGTTTACAATACAATGCTTACCTAAGCAAAGTTCTGTTTGTTCTATGAGAGATGTCACTGATCCGGATAGTGTGGGCACCTAAATTTTTAGTATTAAGTGATAAGCATGACAAATGCAATTGAAAGCTTCATAAACACAGGACACTCATCTAAATACTAGATTGAATATCCCTTTTTAAAAAAAATAAATGAGACAACTCTCTCATCTGGCTCTGCTGTCAGTAATATGTGTTTCCATTCAGGAGAGCCCAGCACCTTGCAGCAAATACACTACATTTGTTTCCAGTGCTGGCAGCCTGATGGAGATTGTGTTCAGTGAGAGGATTCTGCTGCTAACCCTATCACTTTAAGCCCAATGGAACGTTCCATATCTATCACCGTAATGCAGTCAGGCTGAATATACTGTAATACATATGCTGACCTTTTTATTTTGTTCTCTTGCCATGTGCTGTAGCAAGGGTTAAATACACATTTGGCAGCACATTGGAGAGTTGGACCACTACACACACAACTGAGTGTCCTGGGTCTCCAGCGGTCCAACATGCCCCCTTGCACACAAGCAAGAGCGCTCTCACTCCCTGAGGTTAGTATAACCTCAACCCTACTGAACACCTTTGGGATGAATTCAAACGCCAATTGTGAACCAGGTCTTTTCCAACATAAGTACCTGACCTCATGAATGTGCTTTTGGCTGAATGGGCACAAGTTTCCACAGTCAACAACTGTGTTTATAAGGTAGTGTGGAGGAAGATTTGTAATATATGACAAACTGCAGTACAGAAAGACGGAGGTGTTTCCTACAGTAACTTTTCCTGATTTTAGTTTTCAAACGCATTTTCAGAGAATGAAAAAGCTAAAAGTCACCTGGAAATGTACCTACCTTAATTGTATCATAAGTGTCAGTAATTAGAGCGATGAAAAGACTGAGAACCATATAGATGAAGAGGCTGATGAAGGAATACAGATAGACACGGCTGAACAGCCACACCAAGTAGCTCTTCTGTTGCATGATGGAAAATGTAGTGAACATGTCATCGCCATTTATAAGGGAGAACAGACACTCGGACACCATGTCCAGAGACCGGAACTGAGAAAGATACAAGCATAACAATCAGTACAGCTACACCTGCTTTCAAGGACCATCAACACGGCACCATGCTGGTACATTACCTTGGTGTGATAAGGTCCCAAAACAATCCAGCCACAGAAGCAGTAGCCTAAGTAGATCATGGCTGCGCAACAGCAAAAGCGCATCACGTTTGGAAGGGCGGCTCTCAGAGTAAGAATCAAGATCTGTGCAAAACAATTGCATATAAAATTTATTCTATAACTAATATAACTGCATAACCTGGCATTCTGTCAATATTATCTTCATCGCTTCACAGTTTGGCAAAAAAAAAGTGAAATGCACATAAAAATACTACAGTATGTTATGTTCTTCAGTTAACAACTTGGCTCCAGCCACTTCATACTGCCAAAACACAGAGGAAGGCTACACAGTGGCTTAGTCATTCTTCTGCCTTGGACTACTGGGGTCCTCAGTTCAAATCCCAGTCACTAACTGCATGGACTTTGCACATTCTCCCTGTGCTTGTGAGGGTTTCCTCCCACACCCATAAGACATGCTTGTAGGTTAATTGGCTCCTGTCTAAACGGGTCCAAGTATGTGAATGCGTTTATCATAGGGACCTTAGACTGTGAGCTTGTTACGGCACAGACTGATGTGAATAAATAGTATGTAAAGTGCTGTAAAAATTGTTGGCGCTATTTAAATGCCTGTAATAAATGAATTCTAGACTGATGATATAGCCCAATGCTGGAGAGATCCTTATATATGGGTCATGTGATCAGTGATGTCGGCAATCTCCTTTCTTGCTTAACTCTGATTTTTAGGTAAAAGTCTCTAGAGGTAATGAAGGCACCATAAACAAAAACATTTTTTCTATGGTAATATGGATAAATCCACAGCTCCAGAATACACTGTGGACATGTAATGCAGGACATGTTTTCATCAGATAGTGGTACTAACCATTAGAACTCCTAATTACAGCAAGAGAAAATTAATTCTAGATCAGTTATATACATTGTCAGGATTTTTTAGCAAATTCTGTTGCAGATTTAAAAAAAAAAAAAAAAAAAAAAAAGCGCAATAAGCAAAAGTGCAGCCACAGCATCCCTTTACACAGATTGATAGGATCACACCAAAGAGGAAACTGTATTTCCATGCTCCCTCTAGTAGCTGGTCTACAAATCTCCATATTCAATACATAAATAAAAATATGAAAAAGCAAAACATACCAAAAACACGAGCCAGATTAAAAATTGCTTTCAGGTAAACACAAATAATATCTCCAAATATGCGCTCATTGAAAAGATACTATTATTTTCCCTTTAAGGTTCTAAATGTTAGTCCTAGAAAAAAATAATAAAAATCATAAGCGCTCACTGTGGGTTTATACATTTTATATAGATATAATGCCAAAAGCCTGAATTAATTCCAGAATAAAGTATATAATTCATTACATGATTCTGTACATATAGATTTTGCTGATTGTAACAATATTCAAGCAAATTAAATTCGTAGGAGACAGAAGTATTCATGTAGAGCAGGAGTAGGCAACCTTTGAGAGGTGGAGATCTATCTGAACAACATGAAAGAGATGGACTGTGCACTAAGAATGTCAGCAGCAGCGGAGGAGGCTGGGGGAAAGGGAGTGGCAACTAAAAGCTGGGGGTTGGCAGCGCGGGTACCTGTTCGTAGCCTACCTGTCACCTGCCCGCAGTCGAAAGGTAGACTGCGATCGACAGGTTGCCGACCCCTGATGTAGAGCAATCTATTTACCAGGAGGGATTAGTGGAATTGAGAGTTTTCATCTCCCCAAATTTTCGGCACACATCAAGAGACCAGATTTTGCCATTTTAACAAAGTGCATTGGAATCAATGGGGAAAGGGAAATTAAAGAGGTTGTTGGTATATTTATGGGTGCAATTGACTTTAAATGGCTTTGAGGATTAAGGAAGCCCCTTTTATTTATCCTGGACCATTTCCTTTGCCGAACAGCCCCTTCATTAGCCTCATTTTTTAACTTTATTAGCGGATAAAAAATGAAGACCGTGAAGTAGTAAAATACAAAAGTGAAATAAAAATACATTAAAAAGAAAGTACACAAATAACAAACAATCAAAAAAATGGAAAAGAACACAAATACAAAGAAGACTAAATTAAATAAAAAAAAAAATTGACATCCTCTAAATAAAAAACAAGGGGTTTTTTTTTGTTTTTTTTTTTTAAAGTGAATCTAACTGAAGGGACTCAATGAGCACAGTTGAGCGTTAGGGCTTGTTCACACGGGTATACACCTGCATGGGCAACGGCGCTCAATGCATCCGCATGCAGGCAGTTCCATTCATGTCTACTGGGATGCAGCAGCTGCATGGACACAGCCACTGCTCCCAATTTGCCATCCATGCAGGTGTGTGTCCCCCCGAATGCAGACAGTGTGAGTTTGGGGACATGCATCTGCATACATCAGCACATACAAATGTTAAACTGGGGAGCAGCAGCTGTGACCGACAATAGACATGAATGGGACCCCAGTACATCCCATTCTCTTAAATACACCTGTGTGAATGAGGTCTAAGTGAAATTCTGCTGTCAGTGAAATCCCTTCAGACAACAAAAATCTCCACTCATCGCCATTCATGAGATCTCTGTAATTGTTAATACAACAAAAAATATCTGTGCAGTACATTTACATAAGCAAAACCAAATGAAAATGAAAACAGTCACATGCAGAATATTTACATTGTATTTCTGAAAGAATCCTAAATACCGGATGACTCCCAGCCATACTAGCATGGTAGATGTCCCCAGAAGAATACTGCACACATCATAACTGGTCAGGCTCTGCTTGAGAAAAACATGTAATCAGTAACATGGTTTATATTTTTACTTCCAGAAACATCACAATTTCAAATGTTGGAAAGAAAAACACATTTGCTAGAATCATGATACAAAGTAACAGTTTACTTCTGAATTATGACATATAAGCAAGATGGCTAGCATTTTGTTTCTGGAAATGTAATCCCTGTGTTAAAGTGATTATAAACCTACATTTCAGCACAGGAGCTCCACACATGCAGAAGATGCCTAGTCTTCTATAAAAACGTCACTTCTCTTCTTTTTTTTAGCTGGTCCCCACCTGCATGTTTTCAGGGTTATCCTTTACCTTACTGGTTGCAAAGTCACCCCTGTGCATGTGCAGTCCTGGCTGAGACTGCGACCAGTAAGATACACCCCTGCTCCCTCCTCCTCCCAGCAAATTGAATGCAAGCTACAGCAGCCTATCTGCAATGCCTCAGCACCCTCCTCCACAACCCAGAATTTTTGGGGAAGCAGTAGGGACTTCCCCAGAGCCGGCAGATGCAGCTTGGTGCTATGGCTTCTTCAGGCTTAAGACAGACAGTAAGGAGTTGACATATAAGGGTTTAAATGCAAACAGGCAAATAATTACAATGACTAGATAAGTAATGGTTATTTTGAGGAAGGGTTCCAGATATTATAGCTGGGACCAGTTAATAGAGCAAATTAAACGATGCAGGTATACAGGCACAGAGAAGGGGTCTATGAATAGTATATAAAGCAGATCATACAGAAAACTGAGTGCAATGGTAAGAACGATGTCCAGTTTATAGACCCTATGGTATACTATATAATACAGGCTTGAATATTTCAACAGTATATATTTTAAAAGGTCTGTGGTAATGAGAACAGTACAGGGCAGTTTAAAGACTAGGAGGTGCAGGGACATTTGACAGTGTGACGGTTACAATTGCTCAATTGCAATGGGGTATATGTACCACCCAGAGCCCTGCCCTTTATTAGGTATAAGGGATTAATGAGACTTACCCTGCCACAAGTGTTGAATGTGAGTGTGACCCCACCTATCTCCTAAACATGTCTACACAGTCTGAGACAAAGCCCACACAATATTAGAACAGATGACTCTGTACCAGGGGCGGACTGACCATTTGGAAACTTGGGCACTGCCTTAGGGCCCGGGGTCAGTAGGGGGCCCCATGAGATGCCCCTGGTACCTTTTCCATTGGCTTTTTTGAGTTTGGGCAAGGACACAGGGGCCCCATGATCCCCTATTGCCCGGGGGCCCCATGAGTTGTCAGTCCGCCCCTGCTCTGTACCCCTAACAGGCACTGGGTGATTTACACATAAGAGGGATATGGGGAGCCGAGACAGGGGTCTCCCCATCTCTCCAAAGTGAGCTGGGTTCCATGGGCTCCCCACCCAAAGAGACTCCTGTCACAGTGAGGAGCTGGGGAAAGTTTGTATTTCCCTTGCTAAGCTTGTTCTGTGTGCTCTATGCTTAAAGCAGTATTAAAACTAAAAGCAAACAATTATTATACTGCAGCTTACCAATTTTTAGATGTGATGGCTGCATTAGTTTCATTTTTAGGCTCTCTTTTATTTTCATCTGGTGATCCGGCCAGTGAGTCTGTTGTTTTTCAAAAGAAAAAACTCTCTTCCAGATGTTTCAATTTACAGGGATGAGACAAACCACTGCCAGGGGTGCTGGCAATGATCAGCTTGTATTTATTCAAGTAAAATATTTATCCGAAAAGGAAAAACAAACACTGTTTGCTGTAACTGATTATAAAGTGTGAGGGAGAGTTTGGTTTCAATGTATTAGTGTATCACAATCTGTTAGTCCATCGAACACTCCCCTCTCCCCAGACTGACAATGCTGCTGTCCAAAGGTGGCCCCTGTGCTCATTCATCCAGAATGGGAGCACTCTAATACCGGAGATGTATCACTGGCCAGATCACAGGTGAAAAACAGAGGGAAAAAGGCCTAAAAAAAAAAAAAAAAAAAAAAAAGAATGGAGTCACCACATCTAATGATTGGTAAGCTGCAGTATATAAAATTTTTGGTTGTGGGTCTAATACTACCATATTTTCCGGCGTATAAGACGACTGGGCGTATAAGATGACCCCCTACTTTTCCTGCTAAAATGTAGTGTTTGGGCTATACTCGCCGTATAAGACTACCCCTCTTCCAGTGCACACCAAGTGGAAAGAATCGTGCCCAATCATTGGCATTAGTGGGAGGAATTGTGCCCCATCATTGGTATCAGTGGGAGGAATAGTGCTCCATCATTGGTATCAGTGGGAGGAATAGTGCCCCATCATTGGTATCAGTGGGAGGAATAGTACCCCATTATTAGTATCAGTGGCAGGAATAGTGCCCCATCATTGGTGTCAGTGGAAGGAATAGTGTCCCATCATTGGTATCAGTGGGAGGAATAGTGCTCCATCATTGGTGTCAGTGGAAGGAATAGTGTCCCATCATTGGTATCAGTGGGAGGAATAGTGCTCCATCATTGGTGTCAGTGGAGGAATAGTGTCCCATCATTGTGTATCAGTGGGAGGAATAGTGTCCCATCATTGGTGTCAGTGGGAGGAATAGTGTCCCATCATTGGTATCAGTGGCAGGAATAGTGCCCCATCATTGGTGTCAGTGGGAGGAATAGTGTCCCATCATTGGTATCAGTGGGAGGAATAGTGCCCCATCATTAGTATCATTGGGGGGAATAGTGCACCCCATCATTAGTGTCAGTGGAATAGTGCACCCCATCTTTGGTGTCAGTGGGAGGAATAGTGCCCCATCTTTGGTGTCAGTGGGGGGTGGAATAGTGCCCCATTATTGGTGTCAGTGGGGGGTGGAATAGTGCCCCATCATTGGTGTCAGTGGGGGGGAGGAATAGTGCCCATCGTTGGTGTCAGTGGGGGGGGGGGAGGAATAGTGCCCAATCGTTGGTGTCAGTGGGGGGGGGGGGGGGGGGGAGGAATAGTGCCCCATCGTTAGTGTCAGTGGGGGGGGGAGGAAAAGTGCCCCATCGTTGGTGTCAGTGGGAGGAATAATGCCCCATCATTGGTATCCCTGACACCAACGATGGGGCACTATTCCTCCCACTGACACTTGCTGACCCCTGTTCCAGTACGGTGGTGCTGCAGCCAGCATATGTGGTTGCAGCAGCACCAAAGCACGGCACACTTACCTGCATCTCCACTCAATTTTCGCTGGGCCGCTCAGCTCCGCCTCCTCGCCGGTGATTGGCCGCCTGTGTGCCTTTCCTGAGCTACAGTTCTGGCGGCCAATCACCGGTGAGGAGTCGGAGCCGAGCAGCCACGCGAACATCCAGTGGACGAACCGAAGGAAGGAGCAGCCGCGCTTCCTGGACCGGATCGTCGTGGGACCGGAGCCAGGTAAGAGACAGCAGCCCCTGCCCACCCCTTTACTTAGTGTCCCTTCTGTTGGAAGGGGGGGGGGGCGCGGCGGCGGCACCGCGCCGCCCCCTAAAAAGTGTCAGCATGCCGTTACCGGCGTATAAGACGACCCCCGACTTTTCAGAAGATTTTCAAGGGGTAAAAAGTCATCTTATACGCCGGAAAATACGGTACTTTAAAGCTGATCCATGCAACAGGTACAGTTTATATATCACATGGAACAGGGAATGAGGTAGAGCTGTATGAAGGGATAAGTAATAAATAGTGGCACTGGAAATTACATATGGCCATAAGAACTAATAATAGTTTACTGATCAGCTGGTGCAAGGAATCAGCTGCAGCGAAGGAAATATGAATATTCTTCTTCCATATGAGTCTATAGAAAAGTGTCATACATAATCAGGTAACAAGGAATTTGTAGAGGAGCTGGTATGGTGATTACAACTACAAACAGTTTCTCAATCAAATTGTACTGAGACTCTAGTATGTTTTAGGAATATTATCAGTTTTTTTTATCAAGCAGTACAAGAAGCAAGTATCTTTGAACCCATAACCAATTTACAGATCAGCTTGAAGAGGGAATCGTGTTGCACAAATGATTAAAGTGGAACTTCACTCTCAATCAATATTGACCATTTTAAATCCTTATGCTGCCAGCATTAGTAAATAAATAGGGGAATATATCTTATTTACTTGTTTTAAACTATTTTTTACATTTCTATAGTCTCTTTGTAGTTTCCATGCCTAGGCATATTATGTCATAAATCCCAGGAGTCATCAGGAGGGGAGGAAAGTTTTTTTTCAGCTAAGCACACCCTCCTGCCTGTATGCCTGAGCTAAGGGTAGGTGGATTCCAGGAAGTTATTCCTACATGAAGTATCTGCCTTTACTCAAGATGGCAATGGCCAACAATTCTAGGCAGAGTTTTTCTAAGTGATTTTTCAGCAAAATTAAGCATGGAGACATGGATGGATGGGCGAGTTTGCTTTGAATATTAAAAATTAATTAAGCACTTTTGGTTTGTGGTGCTCAGATACAATCCACTTCCACTTTAAGGTGTAACAGAGTTTGGTGAAACCACTTTGTCATCGGCGGTAACAGCTCACTAACAGGCAGGACACACACTGAAATGGCACAATGAACAGGACTGACATTCTCAGGAAGGAGGTCTGAGATGACAGACAAAAGCAGAAACAAGGCAGACAGTCAGAGCAGCTGCAAAACAGAGTTTTAGGTAAACTCAAAATCACAGGAATTATCCTGAATAGTGCAGACAGAAGTCAGAGGTTCCTGCTGATCAGGGACTGACAAATGTTGAGCAGTCTATTTAAGCATTCCTTACTGGGGCAGGTGTTCACTGCAGAGGGAACGAAGCTGCAGGGCTGAGTATTAGCCAGCAGTTGGTGAAGGTTCAAGGCTAATCGTTACATACAAACAGAGAAGATGAAGCCGGATGACTGAAAACTAACAGCAATAAAGCACAGAAACACTACGGCAAGTGCAAAAGGGCTGTAGATATGGTAACGTGTATTGACATATATATATATATACACATGAGAGGAGTAAGCATAGGCAATAGACCTTCTGAACACCCTACAAAGCAGGTGCTACAGCAACTGGTAATGATAGCTAAGAATAATTATCAAACCAATAGAACCAGGAGATCTGTATCAGAAGTTATGAAAACGTAATAGGACAGGTGGTGCAGGGAACCGACTGCCATAATGGGAGCTCTAAACTAATATTAGAACAAGCCATGTAAGGATCAGGAGTGATAATGGAAGTCATTAGCAGTGATAATGCAAGTCATTAGCTCGCTCCATCACACTGCAATATGGAACCACCAAGCAACTTGAGTGATATAGGACTTAAATACTGGCTTTTGGTTGAATGGCCCTTTACTGTATTAATGGGTTGGTGCTGCTTATTTACATAACTATCTTACCCTGAGGTATGTCCTTGATAGATATCCAAAGTCAAATCAAATTGTGCTTGTACTGTCAGTGTGCTATTATCTACAAAGGGGTTAAAGACAAATTCCATACAGATTTTTTTCAATCTCCATCTGCTTATGCAAACATTCCAATATGTTGGAAAATAAAACTAAATGCCCAGTTGCAGTTATCCCCATTATTCCCCCCTTCTTTCTTCTTTTCCCCCTACCTTTTATGTTATTTTTTATATTTTTTTGTGACTATCATTTGGTCGAAACTCAAATTTAGAGACCCCTAGTTTGTAACATATTTCAATAATTATAGAGGAATTGATGGATACTGGATGGATAAACTGCTTCATATTATTCCTCCACCCAGCACCCACAAGCATGAATAATGGACTAAACTAGAAATATCAGAATGCTATGTCTTGTTTATTAAATAGAGGATTCTGTCTCACATGTATACAGCTGCACACGTTGAAACATAAATGTCAAAATCATAACACAGCTTGTCAATTAAAATTAAAATTCCATCACTCATAAGCACCTATTATCACCCACTAGTTAACCTCTGTGTGGTCCAATGGTTGGCCCATTGGGTTGTTCATGACCAGCAACAGAATATTTGCAAGCAATCTTTACTATAAGGCAATGTATAAACAGTTTCTTTTTTAAAGATCCTAAAATTCCCTTCATATGATGGAAAAAATTAAGCCTTTTTTTGTTACACTTAACAAAAAATGTTGTCATTATGTTTTACAAAAGCATTATAATTTTAGGAAGAGCTTCTAATCAAAGCCCCGATGCTTCTTGCCTACTAACCTTAGCCTGGATCTCCATCTTCAGAATGGAACCTACGATGGATAAAATATCACTCACAATAATCAGGATGTACCAGCCATTAACAAACTCCATTTGATCTGACCAGGGCACAGCCTTTGAGAATCGTTGTTGGACGTACATTACATATTCCTGCAAAGTGAATAAATATACTATTTAATGACCAGGAAAGTTCGACATAAAACTGGGGGTTTGTAAATCATTAAAAAAAAGTCCACTCTTGGCATTAAGCAGAACTCAAAACCTTTCCTTGAGCAAACAATTTTCGGTTTTACAGACTGTTTCCCAGTATACACCCAATCAGCATCCACTAAAGTTTAGAACACACTTAAACTTAGTTGTTACTGCCAGGCCTGTTCCAAGTCAGTGATTTATTTTCCACTTGTGATGTTACTTCTTTTACATACAACTTAGAGCAGGTACTGAGTGGAAGGCAGGCAATGACTATAGAGACTTGCATCTTCACAATTGTGCATGTTGTGTGAGGGACTGACATTGTTCTCTGTGGATGTCCCCAATCCTGTAATGTGCACTGACAAAAAGGGGAAGGTCTTACTTACCTAGGAGAGGCTTTGCAGGACCATAAGGAGACAGTACTGACCTGGATATTCCATTTACCTTTGGGAATAAGGGACCATGTGACACACTCCCTACCCCCTGTGCTTGGTGACTGAGCAGCCAGTCATTGAGATGACTTCTTTAATGTTGAAACCTCAGGGGTCATGCATAGCCCAATGTAAATTTCAGCTTGTTCAGCAAGTTAAAACTTACTAAGAAATCTTATGTGGTCTGTTGGAAGGATAGCATAAGGAAGGTAAGTACATACTACCTTACAATACACATACATACAATTCTTCCTATAAAGTGAACTTCTTACTTTGCCTAATATAGACAAAGTACAGAATCACTTAGGCAGGCCATAGATTATGTGATTTTCTTTCCTGCAACCTCGATTCCCCATCAACACAGTCAATGTTGATGGGGGAATGTCTCCTGCAAAGCAATTGTGTTCTCTCAGCGGGGGGCGCAGGGAGCCATCCCTTCCGGGAGAACACCGTGATTACTGCTAACGGCAATTATAGCATGCTAAAAATCTGATATGCTGATTGTACACAAGTCAATAAATGGATCGACTTGGGTACAATCAGCCTGCCCATAGATGGATCGAATCTTGGCCAGTTCAAGAGGGAGCGTGCTGAACCGGCCGAGATTCGATCCATCTATGGCAGGCATTAGTAATAAATATATATCAACAATACAATATATCATTGTAAAAATAAGATGCTTGCACATCTCAGCTTTTCTACTCACAGTTGTGACTTCTTAATGCAGTGCTCCCCCTCTCATTATCCCACTGCCCTTAGTAAATATAGACTGGCCTATGCTTAAACTTTTTAAAAAATCTCTAAAACATGGTTCATTTTAAAAAATAATTTGCTCTAAAACTTGCATCCATCTGCTAAATATTCACTTTGAACAAAACTGCACTGTTATAGGTAATAATAATTGTAAAGATAAACTTACTCTTTGAAGATGAATTCCCTTAACCACGGAACGTATGCAGAGGGTTATGGAAGAAATACAGGTGAAGATGATAATAGCATCAAATATCATCATGTAATGTGTATTCTTCTGGACTATAAAAAGAAAGACAAAATCAGCATTTACTGGGAATGGATAAGGAATTCATGAGGACAGATTACAAAATATTTACATACCAAGTGCTAAGGAGTGAAAGTCTGGAGGCTTATTTGGTTATATTTCTTGAAGCAGAACTAATCCATCAATTTAAAGTACTATAAGCAAAACTTTTTTTTTTTTCATTTTGGAGGGTTATAACCCGTCAGATTTATTTTTTGCCATCTGTGTCCCATTACAGAGATTTCCCTTCACTTTCTGTCCCAGAGAGGAATTCCCAGCAAATCAAGGGAATTCCTTGAGGACCACCAGGTCCCTATTGGAAAATTTCCCCTCAATTACTTTTCTAGGGACAACCCAAAATGTGGGATTTTCTTTACTTTCACTTATGGTATACAGGACAAACAGAGAGGGAGAATCTCCATAAAGGGGGAACACACTGCAATAAAAACCTAATAGGTGTCCTAAACCCTCTCCACTCTATCCAAAACTAAAAAACTTTTTTGCCATTAGTTATTCTTTAACTATATTCCAAAACAGTTAGATTCATGGCAACATGGAGGGCTCATTGACACCATTGGGCAGAGATGTCAATTTTTCTACACTGTAGTGTAAAGGATCCTCCTGCGCTCGATGGAATGATTACTATAATACAGCTGCTGTCACTTAACGAATACCAACAAGTGCAAACAAAAAGAAAAAAATAGTGAAGCGCTTGTATCTCATAAATAAAGGGCATTCAAAAAAGAATTAATATAAATGAATTAATATAAATCTGATACTCCTGTGTGACAAATCTATATAATAAACACTAATACCTCCCTCCGTCACCAGGAATGACGACCCGACGCGTCACGTGTTGAAGTCACGACGCACGTGACGCAACGCGTCGGTTCGTCATTCCTGGTGACGCATGTCCGGATGCCGCGGCCATATTGGATTCCCCAGTGCATGCAGATTTACCAATAGGTTGTGGTAAAAACACTTGTTAACCAAGAGGACTATGTGAGTGTATCTATTTGTGGTGTTTTACCCTTTCTTAATAAATATACTACACTATGGAAAGTTTTATGTCTTTCTATGAGTCTGAATAAGAGAGGAGGAGGAATAAGGAGTCTGCCAGAGGAGATATACCACTGAGGTGGAAACTGCTTTGGGGCCCTGTGTGGGTCAAGGAGGGGAGGTGAGCAGGCATTGCTGCCATTTGGAGGATATTATTTGCACCTAGAAGTGGAGATCACTTGTGTTTTCCAAAAGCACAGAGTCACATGCATGGACATTTTTTCTTTTTCACTTATGATGTATATGAAATGTGTATGAATTAGGCACTATTTTATGTGGATAATTAATTTCATATTCATTAATTTATTCACATTTGGTTATGTATTATGACCACTAGATGACGCGATCATAGAACATATGCGTATTCCTCTGCTCCATCAAGTGGGCATAATAAGTTTTTGTTCCCCATTTAATTTTCAGAAACAGCCCGAGAACATTTTATTTTTTTCCATTCGCAATTTCAAGTAGGAACAGTTATGCAAATTAGTTTTACATTTATCCTAAGCGTGAGGCTTTATAACATAGATCAAAGTTGTAAGATACACATTTGGTATTTTCGCAAATCATATGAAAGCACCATTTGAGCAACTCGGGTATCTTCTACAAATCCAAAATATTTAACACAATGCAAAACAAAAAAAACTTTTTCCAGGTCTAAGGATTTGCTAAGAAAATTCCTCTAACAAAAAATTGACAAATGATACAGGGAATGAACTCTTGGATTTTGCTGTATATTGATTTTCAGTGTGGAGAATCAGTGGATGGTAGTGTTCGACACAAGATTTCTCTGCGGAAAAAGTGTCCTCCACACCACCTAATCCCAAGCTTTAATTTGGCCTGTAGGCTACCCCTCACACTGAACCACCACCTCAGCCAAAACCTACAACTTAACCCAACCTTAAGTGGATCCTTCCTGACACTTAAAGAAGCCCTAGGGCCAAAGCTCTTCTGGCCCTACTTCTCCTGTAGGTCATAGAAGTGCACTTTGTTCTGCACTCCTGTGACTCATATGCAGTCAACAGCAGGCTAAAATCCACTGTCTCTAAGTGCAGCATGACACTATATTGTAGTGTAAAAGTAGGAACACTCACATTTAAGTGGTTAAATACAGGCATGTAATTGTAGTAGTGAGGCGTAACACCGGAAAGGAACGGCTCTCATTGGTTCCCACTGAGTCCGCGTCCCGCTGGAGCAGCGTGGTGGCTGGAGGGAGACAGCAATGGAGCCGTCCGGCGTGCACGTACTCCTCAATGCCAGATGGAACGCACGCTGGAGCGCAATGTCGGCGTGATGATGTCAGTGGACCAAGATACAATGCAACATGTTTCAGAGCATGCGCTGGCCTCTAGTGCAGAAGCGCGCTCCTTTGTCAAGCAGCTTGACAAAAGAGCGCGCTTCTGCCACTAGAGGCCAGCGCATGCTCCGAAACGCGTCGCATTGCATCTTGGTCCACTGACGTCATCACGCCCATGCCGATGCTGCACTCCAGCATTCGTTCCATCTAGCATTGAGGAGTATGTGCATGCCGGTCGGCTCCATAGCTGTCTCCCTCCAGTCTTTTGTCAAGCTGCTTGACAAAGGAGCGAGCATGCTCCGAAACACGTTGCATTGTATCTTGGTCCACTGACATCATCACGCCGACATTGCGCTCCAGCGTGCGTTCCATCTGGCATTGAGGAGTACGTGCATGCCGGCCGGCTCCATAGCTGTCTCCCTCCAGCCACCACGCTGCTCCAGCGGGACACGGACTCAGTGGAAACCGATAACAGCCGTTCCTTTCCAGTGTTACACCTCACTACTACAATTACATGCCATATTTAACGACTTAAATGTGAGTGTTCCTACTTTTACACTACAATAAAGTGTCATGCTGCACTTAGAGGCGCTTCTTCTCCTTCTCTCATTAACACAGAGTCTGCTACAGTACTGTTTGGAGCTTGCCCTTAGTGCCATACGGACCTCCCACTTAAAGTCACCCTAACCTTCTTTACCTACTACCAGACTGTTCCGGACTTGGTGTCAGTATTTGCACTGATTATTACTTCTAAAGTCCACTGTTGGCTGCCATCACTCAGCCGGTCCAGACTCTGATCGGGATCCACGCAGATGCCTGACCAGTAGCTGGCTCACCTTTTCAACATGCTGCTGAGAGCCTAACTGCTCCTGCCTCCTCCACAGCCTAGCACTCCAGTGAGCACTGGACGGTCAGAGCAGAGAGCCGGTGACTGACAGGCACTGGCTCTCTTCTCACTGAAGACAGAGAACTGAGCAATCAGTGGTCTTTGATCGCTCATTTCTCGGTGTAGAGGTGGCAAGGGATAGATGTAGCATGGGATTGATGCTGCATTCACATAGGCGAGTATGCATGTTTTTTTCAAAACCCGCATTTCTCTTTAAATGCCTCCCTGCTAAGAAAAGAAAAACACATACCTCTTTCACCACCCAAGCCACAGAACTTTGCAGTCTTAAAGAACTAAATTTGCTGCAAAATGTTCTGCAGCTGACATTTCTAGGAGTGTCACTAAGCACCTGATGTGGTCCCATCCCGCTTCACTAAAGGACACAGCAATGATTTAAGGTGCTGGTGGAAGGGACCAGACGTCTAATACACCCAGTAGTGTGTAGGTTGATGCAGAGCCACAAGAAGGGATGAACAGACAGGTCAGAAGAGTGTGCAAAAGAAGAGTGTAGGGGGTGAAGTAAATGAGAATTATACAAGAATATAGCTATCCTTTGAAATAAACTCTAAAATAATATCTTAGAACCTAATCATGCACTAAACCTAAACAGTAAATAGAAACCTTGCACCAAAGAAATAAATAATAAATCAAAATAAATGCTGCTGTTCAAGAAATGACTAAACATCAAAATAAACAACAAATCAATGAAATAAATAAAACAATAAAATCTAACGTGAGTATAAGGAAGGTTTTTAAGAAAATTTTCTTTGACCCTCATACAGTATTATACTATTGGCATTTTCTTTTATATCGACCTATGTGGAAACATCCAGGAAGGAAAGTCAGTAAGACATCGTTAAAGGGAGAAACAACATCTGAGGATACCACACTCTACCTCCAAGCCTGTTTTTTTTGTATCTCAAAGCTATATCAGCTTGAGAATTCACAGTATTTGGTGAGTCTGGAATAAATGATTTTTCATTGATGATGTGAGCATGCTAGAAAATTTATGAAGTTTGTGTTAGAGTTATATTTTTTGTCACAAATTTTTGGGACACTGGACTTTAATTTGGGACTTTGCTTGTTGGACTTATATATATTTTCTCACATCTTTTATTATCTTTATTATATACACTAAACCTAGCACTACTGCTAACCTTAATCCCCAACCCTTGATCCATAAAACAAGACTGAAGTACCCACTATGGAGAAGAGACATGAAAGTGTAGAGCACAAAGGGAATTAGCTGTCCCTATTAGAATTTAGCTCTATATTACACTGGTATAGCAGGGAAAAAGGTAAACCTCCTAGAAGATTTGATAACTATTCTTCAAATAACTGCACTTCCCAAAGTATTTGGAAAATCAACAGGTTGTCAATACCTTTAAATGCCACCACTCATTCTAAAGTGTACAGATAGTTCTGCCTAGAAAAGTTCACACAGAAAAGTCCCATTTGAATGTTTGCAGGCAACAAATAATCAAATCAATACTTACTGGATCCAGACACATGCCAATCTCTGCATTCCTGGATGCCAACATCGTTATCCAAAATTACTTTAATCCGTCCACTATGTGCTTTGTTGTCAAACGTTATCTGGAAATAATTGTTGCAACACAAAGGTCATCACACGCCATCAGGAGGTATCCAAGGGGTACAGTCTCTCCACCCTGGTGCTCATACTAATATTAAAGCAGTATTAAACCCCAAAACAAAGATGTTATTTCTGTAACGTCTGATGAGGGACACAGCTCTGATGATAAAAAGCTACATGGAGTTGCACTTCTGCCTACTGGAGAAATGGACACTAGGCAATAAAAACTGAAGGCCTGCCTCTTCAAGGGTATAACCCCTTCCACCTCACCAGTTAAGCTTAGTGTCCTCAGTGGAATTGATGTCTCCTTCCTCTCTGCTAGATTTGTACGCTTGAAAAGGAAGCATTTCTATGATCAATATCTGCTGGTAGATTCATACCAGATATATAAAACTCTGGGAGTCTCTCTAGCCACTCTCAAATATAAAGAGGATCCTCCTGCGCTTAAATGGAGTCCTAACCCTAAAGCTGCTGACACTAACTTTATACCCAATAAGTGTATGAACCAATAAATCCCACAGTGTAGCGCTAGCACAAAACGAAATAATAAATGGTGAATAATAAACAAATAAATGCAATATTAGTGCACAATGATCAATCCCCCTGACATCCACATCAGAGGGATCCACATATGAATAAATATATGAAAGTTAATAAATTAAGTGTAACAGGTGAATTCCCTCTCATTGGGAATATATACAGTGCACAGTGAAGTGTCATCCGTACACACAAATAAGTGAAATGCCACTAATAAGTGTACAAAAAACAACTGCAAACAAATACTGTAAAAAAGTCCCAAAAACAACAACACATATGATAGTACTCCAACTTCACTCTCATGCAGTTGTAGTGATGTGTAGGTGATCAACAGGTGATAATCCTCCAGTGGCCAGAATACCCCCTCACCTCCTCACATAGACCCAAAAGGGCCAGCTCGCTTTGGGGATCAACAGATCCTACAAGGACAGACTCCTCCCAGGCTTCCCTTTAATGGTGGAATACGTCTCCAGCCTCCAACCAGCTATCAGCAAGCATCTCACAGGATCATAGTGAAACACAAACAGAGATCCTCCATAGTGTAAACTTGTTTAATCCAGCATAAAAATCAATAAAAATGCCCACTCACATTGTATCCTTCATATAACAGCTCGTCTACCACATGCTAAGGGTGTACTGCATGGGTATCTTAAAAGGTGTTCCAATATGGCCCCTACGCCAGAAGTGACGTCACCATGTTCCCGGAAGCTCCTCCCCACGTACCGACACATTGCGTCACGTTTAGCACGTGACTTCCTCAGGGTTACCCAGGGTTTCCTCAGGGTAACCCTGAGGAAGTCACATGCTAAATGTGACGCAACGCGTTGGTACGCGGGGAGGAGCTTCCGGGATTGTGGTGACGTCACTTCTGGTGTTGGGGCCATATTGGAACACCTTTTCAGATACCCATGCAGTACACCCTTAGCATGTGGTAGACGAGCTGTTATATGAAGGATACAATGTGTGTGGGCATTTTTATTGATTTTTATGCTGGAATAAACAAGTTTACACTATGGAGGATCTCTGTTTGTGTTTCACTATGATCCTGGGAGATGTTTGCTGATAGCTGGTTGGAGGCTGGAGACGTATTCTACCATTGAGGGGAAGCCTGGGAGGAGTCTGTCCTTGTAGGATCTGTTGATCCCCAAAGCGAGCTGGCCCTTTTGGGTCTATGTGAGGAAGTGAGGGGGTATTCTGGCCACTGGAGGATTATCACCTGTTGATCACCTACACATCACTCTAGCCACTCTACATACACTGGTAGATTTATAACTGATATACAGTTGTGTTCAAAATAATAGCAGTCTGTTGAAAAAAGTGAATAAAGCTCAAAATCCTTCTAATAGCTTTTATTTCCATACACACAAATGCATTGGGAACACTACACATTCTATTCCAAATCAAAACATGAAGAAAAATATATCAAATTTGTGTTGTTCCTCTAAAAAAATTGAAGAAAAGTGAATATTAGACTGTTCAAAAAAATAACAGTGTTTGTATTCTTTACAAACTTAAACATTCAATATAGAAACTGAAAAATGTTTGAAGATTTTGCTTTCCTTTGAATCACTTAATGAATATTTTGTTGTATAAGCACTGTTTCTGAGAACTGCTGTACATCTGTGTTGCATGGAGTCACCCAACGTCTGGCACCTGTGAACAGGAATTCCAGGATGTATTCAAACTGATCCATGATCCCTGGTATGCGATAAATAGGCCCAACACCGTAGTATGAGAAACATCCCCATATCATGATGCTTGCACCACCATGCTTCACTGTCTTCACAGTGTACTGTGGCTTGAATTCAGTGTTTGGGGGTCGTCTGACAAACTGTCTCCGACCACTAGACCCAAAAAGAACAATCTTACTTTCATCAGTCCACAAAATGTTGCGCCATTTCTCTTTAGGCCAGTCAATGTGCTCTTTGGCAAATTGTAACCTCTTCAGCACGTCTTTTTTTCAACAGTGGAACTTTGCGGGGGCTTCTTGCAGATAGCTTGGCTTCACATAGGCGTCTTCTAATTGTAACAGTACTCACAGGGAACTTTACACCTTCTTTGATCTTCCTGGAGCTGATTGTTGGCCGAGTCCTTGCCATTTTGGCTATTCTTCTATCCATTCGAATGGTAGTTTTTCACTTTCTTCCACGTCTTTCAGGTTTGGTTGCCATTTTAAAGCATTTGCAATCATTTTAGCTGAGCAGCCTATCATTTTCTGCACTTCTTTATATGTTTTCCCCTCTCCAATCAACTATTTAATCAAGGTACGCTGTTCTTCTGAACAATGTCTGGAACGACCCATTTTCCTCAGAATTTCAGAGAGAAATGCACTGTAACCAGCATGTACAACATTTGCTGCCTTCCTTCCTTAAATAAGGGCAATAATTGCCACCTGTTTTTCAAAGAATGAATGACCTCACTAATAGAACTCCACACTGTTATTATTTTGAACATGCCCCTTTCAATTAGTGATTCAATTACACAGAATCAGTAGCATGCATGTCATGATTGTTGGGTCTGTTGGATTTCTATTACTCTACTACACCCGCTAGTAAATTATTTTCCATGTAGAAATATCATTTCTACCAAAAACAGTGATTGATCAGGTTAGTGATGTCTGACTGCTATTATTTTGAACACAAATGTATATCTGTATATATTCCACTATCCCTAAGTGGATTCAATGGGTTGTTGCACAGGCCTATGGGTTACAACGTAAAGTGCCTAATTTTCCCATTAAAACCCACCGCACTCGGGCAACAAGTGCTTTTTGACATCAAGCTTCTGTTTCTCAGATTTGTAAGACTGCAACCTGATCTTATGTTCACACTTTTCCAAATTTTACAACGTACATGTGTCTGCCTCCACAGATGCTAGTTCTAGAAGTAGCTGCTAAATGCGCTTTTTTTTTTTTTTTTTTTTTTACGGATAGGGCTGTTTTTGCCTGTGTTCTTAGATGCTCCTGCTTCTTTGTTTGGACTGCTTTTGAAAGTCAATTATCATCAAAGCTTGGTCCCTTAACTTTGCACTAAGGCAGCCCATAGATTGTGCAATTTTCTTCCTTCCACCACGGGTTTAGGGAAGCATTGCTGGTTTCCCCAGCAACGCAGTCAGTGTTGATATGGGGAATCTCCCCATAGCACTATTATGTTCTGCCCAAAGGGAGCCTTCCCTGTTGGCAGAACACAATGATCGCTGCTGGTGGCTATTGCCGACGGCAGTGATCACATGAAAAAAACCAGGCTGGTTGTAATGAAGTCGATCGATGGATTGACTTCAGTACAACCAGCCTGCTCTTAGATGGATCCAATCTTGACCGGTCCCTGCTGAACTGCCCAAGATTCGATCCATCTATGTCCTGCTTAAGTGCCTCCTGGCCATTATACTGCTCACTGTGTGTGTAATTTATCATATTGACAGACTTGTTCTGTTGCCTAGAAAGGCTTCCTTTTGCATAGAGGAGCTTGGCTGCAGCATTGTGGAGCAATGGAACAGCCATGAATGCGTCTGCAACAATTGCTCACAGTTATCTGAGGTGCCATGCCTGTTCACAGTCAGTTTGAAGTACGTCAACAAACATGTAGCTCAAATAAAAAATGAGTATACTATAAGTAGTGCCCCAAACCTGCACTACATGTTTGTCAAATAGGAGCAATTTTCACTTTATACCAAATGGTTGTTTAGTGTCCAGTAATACTGGGGTGATGTACCCCTTTTCAAAAAGATTGTATATTCTGTGGGAATTGAGGCAGTCCTGGAATGTAAATCTCAGGAATGAGACACATTAGTAAAAGTGAAAGTAGGCCCATTCCTCGCTATGATTAATAAACAAGGGGGTTAACACACTGGGTCAAAGGGAGAGACAATAAGTTGGGATTTTGTGTGTAAACCAGAAGCATTGCCTATACACATGTATGCTAAAAATGATTGATATGTATATAAAAGGAGCTGGTTACGTATCGAAGGAAAGATAAATAACTCACACTGTACACAAAATAACAACTCATGGCAATCCTTATATGAATAGAGAGGATATTAACAATTACAATCCAGGTGTTAACATTTAATGGAACTATATACATGGAGATAATCCCAATATATTTTGAAAAATTAGCAATAATAATGAATTTATATTGGTTGAGGTAATCAGATGGTGCATCACACGTACTCACTGTCACTGTAAAGTCGTAGCAGTCCGGCAGCTCATGGTGACGGATAGTCTGCAAGTTGATAGCTTTCAGCTTAAACGTGATCTCCACTGTTACAAGTCTAGAGAAGTAAATAATTCACATGTTAAAAGCTTGCTGGAAAAAAGAAATGGGTCTAGTTTGGAAGATATCGCTCACCGATAAAAGTCTAGCGTCAGGTTCCAGAAGTTCTCATGAAGATTGAGATCATTTATCGGGGTCATTGGCTCCACAAAAAAACACTCTACAAGCAAGAAAGAAGAGAATGTTTATTAACATACAAATATTTAAACATTTAAAGCTGAACTCCAGACAAACTGTTAAATACACAGATGAAATACATACTGTATATGGGAGCAGACTTACCTGCGACAGGATTTGATTTTCTTTCTATCCAGTCTTGTGATTTACCTAGCATTACTAGGCAGCACATACAGGTGGGGGGGGGGGGGGGGCACTGACTTCTCACTGCTGCAGTCAAGCTACAAGTGCAGGTCATCTCCATGCCTCCAACTTGTGACTGGATAGTGAAGAAGCAGTACCCGCCTAAAGAGGTCATATTTCTGCTCTGCTCGTCGCTTGTCAGTATGTTCCCTGTCAGTACGTGTAAATGCATGACACCTAATTAGTCCCAAGTACTGCCACTGCCACGTGCTTCTGTATCAGGGATTAGAAAGCACTGAAATTAATGCACAGTTATTTACACTAGTTGCATTTAAAAAACATTTGAGGTACAAATACAAAACCAAATTTTTTTGGTGTCTTTACATGTTTGCTTATAATTCAACTTTATTTGATTTTTAGGGCCCCATTCACAGAGTGGAATCTGATTTGCTCAGCAGCGGATCTGTCCGCTGATCCCCTGCTGATCAGAGCACAGCGGGTGGATGACAGGTCAACGTCCCGCTCAATTTCCTCTCTGTTGGGGTCCCTCAAGGCTCTGTCCTCGGGCCCCTTCTCTTCTCCATCTACACCTCCTCCCTTGGCCAACTCATACACTCTCACGGCTTCAACTACCACCTCTATGCCGACGACACACAAATCTATGCCGACGAAACACAAATCTATCTCTCAACCCCCCACCTCACCCCCTCAGTCTCCGCCCGAATCACACACCTACTGAGCTACATATCAGACTGGATGTCGCTCCACTTCCTTAAACTCAACCTCTCCAAAACCGAGCTCCTAGTTTTCCCCCCAGCCCGCACACCACCCCCCACTGACTTCTCCATCACGTCCAACAATGCCACTATCAGACCCGCCCAGCAGGCCAGAGTACTTGGTGTCATTCTGGACTCCAACCTATCCTTCCAGCCCCAAGTCCAATCTTTAACAAACTCATGCAGACTCTACCTCCACAACATCGCCAACATCTGCACATTCCTAACCCCAGACACTACTAAACAACTCATCCACTCCCTCATCATATCACGACTTGATTACTGCAACTCCCTCCTCACTGGTCTGCCCCGCCACAGGCTATCCCCACTTCAGTCGATCCTAAATACGGCAGCCAGACTCATTCACCTTACAAACCGCTCCGTTTCCGCCACCCCCCTCTGCCAATCCCTCCACTAGCTTCCGATTGTCCAACGGATCAAATTCAAAATTCTAAACACTGACGTACAAAGCTGTCCACCATACTGCCCCCAAATTACATCACCGACCTAATATCCAACTATCACCGAACACGCACACTCCGCTCCTCACAAGACCTCCTTCTCTCTAGTTCCCTGGTCCACTTCTCCCATGCCCGCCTCCAGGATGTCACCCATCCTTTGGAACTCCCTGCCCCAACCCATCAGACTATCACCTACTCTCCTCTCCTTTAGGCGCACCCTGAAAACCCACCTCTTCAGGGAACCCTACCCCACCCCCTGCTAATTTGCCGACCTCCTCCACTCTTCCTACCACCCCATCCCCCACAGCTATCTCCTCCTGTACCACTATCCCCTCACTCCTAGATTGTAAGCTCGAAAGAGCAGGGCCCTCGATCCCCTCGTGTATCGCATTGTATTGTTATTGTACTGTCGTATGTTCTGTCCCCCTTTGTAATGTACAGCGCTGAGTGAACTGTTGGCGCTTTATAAATACTGTATAATAATAATTTCTGCAGAGCGGACACGGACACAGCTGCTCTGCTCTATAGACGATAGGGTGTAGACCAGCTGTCTGTTTATACCAAACTACCGTCCAATCTGATTCACTTAGACGAAGAGGGTACGGATCCCCTCCTGTTTTTCTTAGTGGACAATATCAAATTGGAGGTAGATGGGTGTAAACGGACACAAGTCTGTTTAACCACTGGTCCATAGGGATACATGAACCATCTAATCAGGTCTGCCTGAAAAACGAACAGGTGGACCTGATCGGATCTCCCATGAATTCAGTCTAATTTCTCTATGGTTCTAATCTTCATTTTGACATGCAGAGCTGGACCATCCACAAGGCAACCTAGGCAGCAGCTTAAGGTCTGAGGAATATCTAGAGGACCCAGCAACAACCTTCATACTCCTGCAATAAACCTGAGGAATAGTGCAATTGGCCCAAGCTGTGAATATGCCTACAAGGCAGGATGTTCTTGTAATTGGGGTCTGATGAGGAGGGGCCATGGCAATACAGATAATGCAAATTGAGTACTTTTTCTGTGTTTATTGCAATCTTTGTCAAGGACAAATCACAGGAATGGGGGGCCAAAGCTGCTGCCTTGCCAGAGCCCCATTCTGCCTTAATCCCCAACACAGGCATGTCACAGATCTCTGCCAGGTCCCAAATACATGGCAAAGACTTAGTAGCACAGTGAAAATTCCAGCTGCAAGGCAGACAACCTTTTTTTAACCATATTAAGCAACTTAAAAAGTAAAGAGCAATTTTTAAATATTTAAATTATGCTATGGGAATGGGAATATGTAACAAATATAAAGTGAGTGTTGTTCACATTTGCCTGCAAAAGTGGAAATGCAGATTCCAGCATAAGGAGAATGCCTGGTGCCTAAAGGTTCTTACAGGTTTTGATTGCATTCCTTGACTCTCTTTAATCTACCAAAAATTGCTAATAATGATTAGTAGTCTACAAGGAGGGTAGGTGAATCCTCTCAGACAGGACTGAGTTTGTGGTTTGTAATTACCTTTCTCGATCTTAGGGTCAATATCAAAGGTTTCATTTCCAGGGAAAATGCTGCCCTGCTTATAGAAATACTGGCAGACAGTCATTCCATGTCTTCCATCCTCTCCTCTATCATAGGCATGATTACCAACAGAGATATTTCTGAGCTCCAGGTACTAAGAAAAAAGTTTAGCAATAGTTACAATGATGCAGCAACAACATATTAAGACATTTCAGCCTGGGCATCTAGTTAGAGGGTTAAAGCACACCTATAATGTGCTCATAAAAATAAATTCAGCTACATAGCAGGCACCTTCTGGTGCCACATCATACCCTTAGAGACCATGCCCATGTCTCCAAGCCAATGCTGTAGCTGCCTTAAAAAAAACAAAACAATCTTTTTGATATGGGAGAAATATGCACATTTCCTTCACCATTCCACAGTGCAGTGACCTTTAATTGCATACTGACTTTCATATTAGAGCATGCCTATACTGGATACAGATTTTCAGAGCCTCTGGGCGCTTCCATGTCAGATCAGGGAGGCAGGTACTGTAAAGATAAGATGTGCCATAGGATGGTGCCTGCTATGACACTGACAGATTACGTAAGATATTTATGCGCACAAGATAGGTGAATTGTAAATAAGCCAAACTTCTATTGGACATCATGGCATTGTAGCAAATGAAGAAGGCTGCGTTCTAGCTCAGTCCACAGAATAGTTCCATTCTGTGGATGATTGGCACACCTTAAGGAAAATGATGGCACATGCTTCAGTTATTATTTTTGTACATCCCTCTATACTTTCACTTCCTCTAATGTCCTTTTGAAGTCACTTGCCTATAGTATGTATACTTTATGGGCAAAAAGGTTGTGGACAATGGACCATCACATCTACATACAGTATGTTTGTTGGACATCCCATTCCAAAGCCATGGGCATTAATATGGAGTTAGCTCCCTTTTGCAGCCATAACACTCTCCACTTATCTGGGAAGCCCTTTTACAAGATTTCAATGTGTGTATGTTGGGATTTGTGCCCATTTATCCAAAAGAGTATCTGTGAGGTCAGGTACAGATGTTGGAGGAGAAGGCCTGGCTCAGGCTCTGTATCCTAAAATTATCTCAAAAGTGTTAAAAAAAGACTGAAGCTAGGGCTCTGTGCAGGCCAATTTGAGTTCTTCCACACCAAACCATGTCTTTTTGGAGCTGGCTTTGTGCACAGGGGCACAGTGAGGCTTGAACAGAAAACGACCGTCCCTAAACTCAAGCCATAGTTTTGGATACACACAACTGTTTAAAATATCTGTATACTCGATATTGTAGTATTAAGAGTACACTTCACTGGAAACACCTGCACAATAATTTGGAGGGGTGTCCACATACTTTTGCGTATAAAATCTACCATGACCTGAGCAATATTTCATAGCCTTACTCTATTAATAGTGAAAGTGATGTGATTATAAACATCTTCCTGCCGATAGACTGCATAGGTGTCATCTCTGGCATCCTTGTAATCTTTCAGAAACAAATGCTTGAACGCTACTGTGTTCTCCTCCTTGAAGGTGACGACCAACTGATTGCTGAGTCCAAACAGCACCAGCTAAAGGAAACACAATGAATGTCATTCAGGCTATTGATTTATCAGAATTTATTCTGCACACAGAGTACAATTTCATCAAATTCTAGTAAGACTAAATATAACATGCACCTTGTTTAATGCTGCCTCTGAGCCATCAGCCTTAAAAAAAATATATATATTTTCTTTTAATCACAAGAATCAAAAGTTATCAAAGTAGCAATTTAAAGTTTTATGAAGATAAATGTATTTTTTTTTGTTTTTTGCACAGAAACAAGACGGTTTTGTCAATTTCCAGGAATATTAGATTGCTTATGACAAGCAAAAGGTGATTTTGCATATGTTATCAACAGAAGCTTGTCCTTGTTTTCGAATACACTTTGTTCAGCAGACGTACATTACAAATTGGTCAGTTCCCAGTAAGTCTAAATATAATACGTACTTTGTTTAATGCTGCCTAAGAGCAGTCTGCCTTTCAAAACAAATATTTTCCCGTAAGCGCAAGAATCAAGATAAATGATAAAAGATAAATGATAAAACAAATGAAACATTTTTCTTATTTTTGTACAGAAACCAGATAACTTTTGTAAACTTTCCAGAATATTAAAATGCATATTGCAACCAAAAGGGAGATTTTTCATGTTATCAATAGAAGTTGGTCCTTGTTTTCAGAATTAAAGTGTAACCAAGTTATTACGTAAATAAATAATTGCCAGTCTTTTGGAAGGCTGAATTGTTTCCCTTGCAGTTATTCTTTAAAAGATTTGCTTCATAACTGGGCTGAACTATCTTGTTTCTATATTTCTGTCACCATGGTCCAGCATCAGGTTCATTTCTAGTAACTGAAGTGAACCCACTGATGATATATTTGACATCATCTACTTTCTGTTGCTAATGTACAGCGTGTGGGTGCGGTAACCCTAAAAGTATTTGGACTGGCAATGACATGGCACAGGCCAAATCAGCAGAAGTACAGCAATTTTATTTAATGTCTTCATCATTTAAAATGGATCCCCATGCAAAAATTATAGTCCCAGCATTTCTGTTATATGCCCTATATACAGATTCTCCTCTTATAGTATGTTATAGTAATTGCAAAAAAGGTAAATCCATTTTTCTTTCCAAAAGTGGTTTTAAACCAAAAGCAAACATATTGCAGCTTACCAATTGCATGTGATGGCTGCATTTGTTTTCTTTATTTTCACTCTGGTGATCCTGCCTTTAATGATGTTGTTTTTCAACAGAACAAGCCATCCTGCAGGTGTTGCAGTTAGAAGGCTGAGACGGACCACCTACCACTAACACAGGTGCATAAAAGGATCAGCTTTTATATATTTATGTAAAATCTTTATACCAAAAAAAAAATTAGTAGCTTTAACTGCTTATAAAGTGCGAGCTAATGTTCAGCTTCAATTTGTTTAGTGTAGCTAAATCTGCTAGTGCATTTAACACTCCCCTCCCCCATATTAACAATGCTGCTGTAAAAAGGTGTCTCTGTTGCGTCTTCATCCACAGTGTAGTCTGCTTGAAAGGGTATATACCAGTGTGCAGAGGGTCCTTCAGAATTTCTAGAGTTAATGTGGTTACACCCCTTTAGCACCTGATGGATAAATGCATGCACTAGCTGTATGGATTTGAGCACAGGGATCTCTTGTTTGTTGTATTGTTGGGTCAGTAGCCAGACCTGAACCTTGTAGCTCTCCCCATTGTGTCTTTTCCCCTATGCTAGCATTGTGTCCACAGTAGCATTTGCGTAGGCAGGGCAGAGTAGGACCGGCCATAGAGGGATTACTTTGAGGCAGTTGGCCAGCTTAAGCATGTATTGCAATATGTGTGAACTAAATATCCCTATTTATTGCATAGTCTGCTTGAAAGGGTATATACCAGTGTGCAGAGGGTCCTTCAGAATTTCTAGTGTTAATAGGTGGTTACACCCCTTTAGCACCTGATGGATAAATGCATGCACTAGCTTTTGGGATTTGAGCACAGGGATCTCTTGTTCATCCACAGTGTAGGCGCATCGTGTGAAAACTGAGGAAAAAAGCCTAAAAATGAAAACTAATGCAGCCACCACATCTAATGACTGGTGAGCTGCAATATGTTACATTTTTGGTTTTGGGTTTAGGGTTCCATGCACACTGGCTTAAAAAAGGTGTTTTGTCTGTAGAAGCAACTAATGTTATCCTATGTGTCCATGCACATTAGGTAGTCTAGAGGGATTTTTTAATCTTAGCGCTTAGAGGCAAAAAAGAACCCTTCTGTTTTGCATTTTTGAGAGCGGTTTTCTGGCAGAAAATAAACAAAAAACAAATGCCAAACACTCCTAAATGCTAGTACAAACACTCTCAGTTTGTAAGCCATTGTGCATGCAGCCTAATACCGCTTTATTTGTCCATCTTTTGGGTCAGATTTGTAGACCTCTATCTATGAATATGTTATTTAACTACCAAAATTGTCTATACGTTCAACTTCCCCACCAACCTCTAACTTACTATACACATAAGTATAGAGGAAATGTGGTGGTGGAAAAGCATGAGTGTATTTTAGCTCATGAATTATTCGTGGTCAGCATGTCCTTTTGAGCTATGAGCCTACAGCTGACAATGATGGAGCAGCAAATTGATGAGGCCATCCCTCTGCTCTCCCATTCTGTAAACATGTTCAGTGTTAGGTTGACAAACAACATGCAAACAAACTAACCTGATTGGCTTAAAGTTTGTCCCCACTGTCTGTACAGGGGATTATTAGAGACTGACATAAAAACACATTTGGTGATATGTGAAGATAAAGGTAATCTTTTTAGAATAACTTTAAAAAAATCTCAAGCCAACCAAAAACCCAAAGTGGTGGTTTAGATCATCAGCAAGGAAATGGAAATCAAAACGGCACCAATTGAATGTAGTGAAAAATTCTGAATACTATTAACAAAATTACTGGTGATTTTTTCCAGTTTGATCTGTAAATAAACTGTTTTAAAGTTACCAATTTAACGAAGTTTGGACTTAACAATTTATTAAATTCTGCTGGATGATCAATCTAGTGTTTAATAGATTGTGTAGTTTCTTATCATTACTTATTTGCAATTCCCGGTAGCTTATAATTGGTTGAAATTGATTGAAAAGTTGACACATATTGCCAGTTTAAAGTGGCTGTAAAGACTGAAGGTTTTTTACCTTCATGCATTCTATGCATGAAGGTAAAAAACATCTGTGTGCAGCAATGCCCCCAGCCCCCTCAATACTTACCTTTACTTACCTGAGCCCCATCGCGATCCAGCGATGTAAATGACAGCCTCGGCTGTCTCGGGTCTCTGCCTCCTTATTGGCTGAGACAGCTCAATCACAGCTAGTTAGCCAATGAGGAGAGAGAGGTGGTGGGGCCAAGCCATAGCTCCGTGTGTGAATGGACATACAGAGCAAGCTGCTTGCTGTGAGGGCACCTGACAGGAGGGAAGGGCCAGGAGAGCCTGCGGGGGACCCAAGAAGAGGAGGATCCATGCTGATCTGTGCAAAACCACTGCACACAGCGGGTAAGTATAGACATGTTTGTTATTTTCCAAAAAAAAAAAAAAAAAATTAACCTTTAGAATTGCTTTAACCACTTCAAGTCTGGACACTTTTACCCCCGTCCTGTCCAGGACAATTTTCAGCTTTCAGTGCTATTACACTTTGAATGACAATTGCGCAGTCATGCAACACTATACCCATATGAATTTTTTAGCATTTTTTTTGAGACAGATACAACTTTATTTTGGTGGTATTTATTCACCACTTGTATTTTTATTTTTTTGCTATATAAATGAAAAAATGTCCAAAAATTTAGAAAAAGTGTTTTTCTTATAGAAGTTTGCAAATAAATTATCTTTCTTCATAAATCTTGGCCAAAATTGATCTTTTTAGTGAAAAAAAAAAACAAAACCCAAATTAGTTTATAACCAAAAATTATAATTTAAAAAAAAAATATTTTCTACATTTTTTTTTTTTTTATTATTATTATTTTTTTTTTTTAACATAACGTCACCCTAGCAGTACAGTGTTACTGTACTACTTGTGTGGGGGTGATGAAGATTTTTTTTTTTTTTTTACACTGATTGCTTTTACCCCCATAAAGGCTGTAAAAGCAATCATTTCTTCTTCTCTCTGGCTGCATTTTTACAGCCATTGAAAAATACTGTGTGAGCTGTGATTGGTCACAGCTTGTCACATGGTACAAGGCTGTTGTGAATAGCCTTGTACCATGTGATCTCTCTGATCATTCACAGATTTCACACGTAGTAAGCAATGATGTCAGAAGTGACATCTTGCTTACTACTCTTCATGTGATCACTGATTGGCCAACCAGTGATCACATGATCGGGACCTCACACAGAGGTCCCGTACAACGATCGGTGTTTCTTCCGGACACAGCGGGCACCAAATCGCGGTGCTACGCACTCCCAGGGAGCGCGCACAACCAGGGAAGCGGGGAGGACATTTATAAACGACCACCCGCCCCTGCACTGCTCCCGTCCGGCTGTTTATGTACATGGCTCGGACGGGAAGTGGTTATGGGAATATAGACACAATCAAGAATGATACTAAGGGCTCTTTCAAACAGGGGGCCAGGGTTCAGTAAAAACTGATGGCTGGTCTGCATTTTAACTGCTCTCAGACTGCCTATCTACAAGCATACTATGCAGGGTGTACACGTGGCATCAAATTTAACCTGGCATGGCACTGCCCTTCAAACACACCATTTGAACTAAGTTAAGCTGTTTCACTTGGCTTGATGCATGATGTTTCAATACAAAATCCCTGTTCAGCTGGACATAAAAAAAACAACCTAAAAAAAGAAAAAGAAAAAACAAGCATTCAGGAGGGGACAGCATCATTTCTGGCTACAGAACATACCTGAATTGTTACCAGTCCTATTTTTAATATCTGAATACATAGCTTCCATGGCTTGCGGCCTCGGGCACGAAATTTTTCACATGGGTTCATGAAAAAGAATTTGAGCTTTCTCCTCAGCTGGTCTTCCATGAGGAGCTCCTCGGACATGGAGCAGGTTTTGCTCATGTATGGACTCTCATGTTCTTCCACTGAAGCAGATGCTTTTACTATTCGGTCTGGACTCTCCATTGCTGCAAGATGGATCGTGAATTTAGAAATGCAAAAAAAACAATAGAAAGTTATTTGTGCCCACACTGGTTAAGGGTGGTTATAGCCAGATCTGGGTTTTCAAATAATTAAAACCTCTTGTTGTATAAAAGCTGCAGTAAAGGAGTTATCTTTAGACCAAGCTCCAGTGTCTTCTTTTGCTCTGATTCTCCAGAATTCACTAACTCCAGAGTTCCTTTAGAAAACATTTTTGTGTGGAAATTTTTGTTTTGTTCTGAAAATCAAGCTTTACAGAATCTTTGGAGTTTATGAATTCTGATAAACCAGGACAGGAAAAAACAAAAAAGAATTACGGAAATTGCTGAAGCCTTTAAAACAGGAACAAAGTAAAGTAGATCAAGGACATGAGATTAGAGCCACCTATCGCTACCATTTCTGGAAAGAAAGGATGACAGACACGTGTATATGGTACACATTGCTGGCTGACCCTTATCTAGTGGGTTCATCTGAATGGATTGTCCTGTTACCATTGTACCCCAGATACACAAGGTCAGAGGTGTTTCTTCCGCATTCCCCCAACCTCATAGGAGACTCTGACCTAGACCAAAATACAGCAAGTGAAGTCATTAGTGCTCTTCATATTTGTTCAAGTTCAGTAACTCAGAAGGGAATGAGGACAGAGGATCAGAGATTCAGCCAGGTTGCTAGCATTTTCAGATGGTAGTCTGTAATTAAAAAGCCTACTGATTTGTCTCAGCTAAGTTTTCCTTACAGGGCATATATCATTTTTAAAGCCTCTATATACAGCAAACTTCAGTACATTACACTAACCCATAAGAGATGACCAAGTAATCCTTTGCACACCTCTGACATGAAATATGAGCAAAGCATATCCCTATATAGTGTGTACTTGTCTCAATTCAGAGCACTAAGGGGCTGATTCACTAAAACTAGAGAGTGCAAAATCAGGTGCAGCTGTGCCTGGTAGCCAATCTTCAGCTTGTTCAATTAAGCTTTCACAAAACAAAAACTATAGTCTTAACTCTCCAGTTTTAGTAAATTATTCTCTAATGCAGGCCATAGACGGGTCGAAAATCGGCCGATTTTTCGGGCCGAAAAAAAAAAAATGGCCGATTTTCACACCGTTAGTGGGTTAATTGGTCGTCCGTTTTTCGTGATTTTGGAACATTTTTTTTTTTATCGGTGAAGTTGGAAAAAAATTGGCCGAATTTCCCGGCAATGATGGGCAAATCGGCCGATCTCTTTACCGATAAAAAAATCTGCATATGAGCCGTGACCTGCAATAAAAAGAAATAGAAGAAGAAGAAAAAAAAGAAGAATTCCAGTCCGCTATTATATTTGATATGAAAAAAGTATTGCGGTTGCAACAATGTATCTATTTGTATCCGAATAAAAACATCTGTATCCGAAATGGATACAAATAGACAAATTGTTGCAGCCACAATACTTTTTCATGTCAAATATAATAGCAGAGCTCTATGCAGGGACAGAATATATACAGTCAGGTCCATAAATATTGGGACATCAACACAATTCGAACATTTTTGGCTCCATACACCACCACAATGGATTTGAAATGAAACAAACAAGATGTGCTTTAACTGCAGACTGTCAGCTTTAATTTGAGGGTATTTACATCCAAATCAGGTGAACGGTGTAGGAATTACAACAGTTTGCATATGTGCCTCCCACTTGTTAAGGGACCAAAAGTAATGGGACAATTGGCTTCTCAGCTGTTCCATGGCCAGGTGTGTGTTATTCCCTCATTATCCCAATTACAATGAGTAGATAAAAGGTCCAGAGTTCATTTCAAGTGTGCTATTTGCATTTGGAATCTGTTGCTGTCAACTCTCAAGATGAGATCCAAAGAGCTGTCACTATCAGTGAAGCAAGCTATCATTAGGCTGAAAAAACTAAACAAACCCATCACAGAGATAGCAAAAACATTAGGCGTGGCCAAAATAACTGTTTGGAACATTCTTAAAAAGAAGGAACGCACCAGTGAGCTCAGCAACACCAAAAGACCCGGAAGACCACGGAAAACAACTGTGATTGATGACCGAAGAATTCTTTCGCTGGTGAAGAAAACACCCTTTACAACAGTTGGCCAGATCAAGAACACTCTCCAGGAGGTAGGTGTATGTGTGTCAAAGTCAACAATCAAGAGAAGACTTCACCAGAGTGAATACAGAGGGTTCACCACAAGATGTAAACCATTGGTGAGCCTCGAAAACAGGAAGGCCAGATTAGAGTTTGCCAAACGACATCTAAAAAATCCTTCACAGTTCTGGAATAACATCCTATGAACAGATGAGACCAAGATCAACTTGTACCAGAGTGATGGGAAGAGAAGAGTATGGAGAAGGAAAGGAACTGCTCATGATCCTAAGCATACCACCTCATCAGTGAAGCATGGTGGTGGTAGTGTCATGGCGTGGGCATGTATGGCTGCCAATGGAACGTGCTTCTCTTGTATTTATTGATGATGTGACTGCTGACAAAAGCAGCAGGATGAATTCTGAAGTGTTTCGGGCAATATTATCTGCTCATATTCAGCCAAATGCTTCAGAACTCATTGGACGCCGCTTCACAGTGCAGATGGACAATGACCCAAAGCAGACTGCAAAAGCAACCAAAGAGTTTTTTAAGGGAAATAAGTGGAATGTTATGCAATGGCCAAGTCAATCACCTGACCTGAATCCGATTGAGCATGCATTTCACTTGCTGAAGACAAAACTGAAGGGAAAATGCCCCAAGAACAAGCAGGAACTGAAGACAGTTGCAGTAGAGGCCTGGCAGAGCATCACCAGGGATGAAACCCAGCGTCTGGTGATGTCTATGCATTCCAGACTTCAGGCTGTAATTGACTGCAAAGGATTTGCAACCAAGTATTAAAAAGTGAAAGTTTGATTTATGATTATTATTCTGTCCCATTACTTTTGGTCCCTTAATAAGTGGGAGGCACATATGCAAACTGTTGTAATTCCTACACCGTTCACCTGATTTGGATGTAAATACCCTCAAATTAAAGCGGACAGTCTGCAGTTAAAGCACATCTTGTTCGTTTCATTTCAAATCCATTGTGGTGGTGTATAGAGCCAAAAATGTTAGAATTGTGTCGATGTCCCAATATTTATGGACCTGACTGTATATACACACACATACATGTAAAGCGCTGTGTAAATTGATGTCGTTATATAAGTACCTGTAACAAATAAGTAGATAAAATAAATGTTGCGGTGTATGTGGTTAGTGTGAACTGGCCCCGATATTATTTTATATTGGTCTGCTAACTGCTCTAGATTGGCCGTTTTGTCAGGCAGCAACAGGTACAGTATAGATTCATTCACATTCTGATCAATCTATGAAAGGTAAACCTGTTTGAAATTCTTTTAAATCAAATCACTTTCAAACACTAATTTTTTGTCTCAAAAAAAGAAGCAGGAAATCTGTGATTGACTTTATGGATATTTTTTCACCAACTGGCATTCTCTTTTCCTACAACAGTGCTTTTACTGATAGCCGCTATCTAATAAAAGCAAAAAAATCTAATGTTCAAAGGTCCAAAATCTGTTAATGATAAAATTGGTTCAGGGCAAAAAGCAAAACAGCCAACAAACTCTCCCTTCTTGAGTGCTAGAAAGCAAACATGTATGTACAGTAGGTATGTGTGTATGTAGAAAAAAAAAAGTTATATAATTAACATACAATATATAAAATGCAAGCAAACACATCCAAAAGAAAGAGACCATTTTATTTATGAGGAATGTCATTAAAATGACAAGACCTATAAAAGCGTTGGGGATAAAAACCCATAAAATACTGTATAAAAAAGGAGAGGTGTAATTCTCAGAATTACCCCAAATTAGGTAACAGAACAGTTTAAACCCTATTTGCAATATGGAGATCAACACTATTTTTTATCATCCCCATCACTACTGTATTTTAGGTAGTTCTTGTGATATATGACATTCCAGGTGAAAAACTAGTATTAGTGCTCGTTTGCACGTGCTTCAAAATGTGGCATTGGACAAAGCACTCTGAATGCCAATAAAAGCACCTGTCATTAAATAAAATGGTACGCTTACAGTCCTGTTCACACATTGCGTTTGCTTTGCTTTGCTTCAAAAGTATGTTACTTACAAAAGTCAAGTTACTTTCTTGGTGCTTCAAAGCATTTGCGAAGCCTCCATAGAAGTCTATGACAAAGCTCGCTAACAGAACCTGCAGCCTTTGAGGAACTTTTATTCAGCTCTAACCTCCCCTTGTTTTGAAGGTATTGCAGGTATGAAATATCCCAGGATGCACTGGGAAACCAGCAAGTGAACAGGAAAGACATCATCAGCAGTCACTTCTGGTTCATGTGTATATATTGTTGGAGTGTCTAGTGCAGACGTCATATCTGGTGCGTAGCGCGCAGCAGCAGGAAGGTGAGCGGGGTCCGGACTGGAACAGAGCAACTAGCAGATGGCAGACGTGAGCGGGGACTGGAAAGATAGAACTGAGTGGCTAAGGATCAGCAGCATGGGCGCAATATAGTGGGAGGTGAGCGGAGAACAGAGAGAGAGGAGGATCAACAAACCATAGGATCAGCAGAGCTGGGGATTACTACTGAGTGGGGGGTCAGCAGAGCAAGGGGTACTACGCAACTGCAGAGCAACTACCAGACAGGACACATGGTGTGCAACATGGGAATGCTGTAGCGGAAGGTGAGCGGGGACTGGAGAGAGAGGACTGAGTGGAGAAGGATCTGCAGAGCTGGCAGACCAGAGCAGGAGAAACTAGCAATATCAGATGTGGTGTGCAGTATAGGAGCAATAAAGTGGGAAGTGAGCGAGGACCAGACAGAGAAAGAATCCAGAGGATCAGCAGAGCTGGGGGTTACTACTGAGAGAGTTATCAACAGAGCTGGGGGTACTACTGAGCATGGGATCTGCTGAATGAGAATACCAATGCTGAACAGAGAGAATAGGGAGCTGGGGGTCTGATGAATGGAGGTA